ATGTGTTGTCTTCTCCATTCAGAGGGGCCCCTGCCTGTCTTTGCCTAGGGCCCCACATTTCCTAAATACGGCCCTGTTCATATGTAACATATTTCTCTTCTTTTTTTACGGGTTATTGACAGACGGGCGCAGAGCTGCTCCTCCTAGATCCTCCATAAAGAGAGTGATCACCTGTGATGACAGCAGCAATGTTCATCGCCTGAGCTGCGGTAAACCATAAACATATCATCATTTAAAGCTGTTTCTATTCATCATTATAGGGAAAATAATGGTAGATGTTAGATCAATATTAACATGGGATGGAAGTGGAGTATCAGCAGTCACTGTTTGCAGACTGTGGGGGAATTAACCCTGAAATAACCCCCCATCATTACAGCAGCGAAGCTCTAAGAAAGCTAGAGCTGCAGCTCTGCCTATAGATCTGCTCTCACAAACCTGCACCAGCTATGCTGAGGTTGGAGGGATCATTGAACCCATGAATGATCTAAAGCAGGCATCCCCAAACTCAGTCCTCGAGGGCCGCTGTCCTGCAGGTTTTAGAGGTTTCCCTGCTTTAGCACAGCTGATTATCATGATAGCAGTAGAGCTGAAGCCTGTTAATCAGCTTTCAATTAAAATCAGCTGTGCTGGAACAAGGAAACCCCTAAAACTTGCAGGACAGCGGCCCTCGAAGACCGAGTTTGGGGATGCCTGATCTAAAGGCTGGAAGATGATGACAGAATGACATCATTCATAAAGAATGCTAAAGAAAAGGTGAAAGCATGAACGTCTCCCCCAGTGACGAGGACCGTACCTGATGGAGTTCAATAAGCAGCAGCAACGACTGCAGAGACTGCAGGTTCATGTTCCCTGCAGGATCTTAGCTGTTGAGTTAAAAATCTAGAAATAAGTAAAAATTTCATAGATTCAGTTTATTTACCTTTAATTTAAGCAGGTCAGTCATAGACAGTCACCATCCAGCTTGTTATGGGAGCGGCTGAGATGCTGACGGTGTGATTTAGTGTAAGCAGGCAGTGAAATGACTATATATATAAATATAAATACCCATGGAAACACGCTGTGTAATTATGATGGAGTATTAGGGCCAGGCTAGGGATTATTTTATTCTTCTTCTGTGGAGAATAAAGTCATAAAATTACCTAAAGTTATTCTCATAATTTTATGACTATTCTCGTTCTGACTTTTTTCTCATAGTTTTACGACTTTATTCTCATAATTTTACACCTTTATCCTCGTTATAGAAGAAAACATATCTGTAGCCTGGCTCTAATACTCCGCCGTACTGCAATAATCCTGTATAATAATCCTACTATTAAAAATAAAAAGCTGTCCTGTGTGGACGCACTGTATGTGCCGTATATATCCCATCATGCACCTTTTTCTTCTAAGAAAGTCAATCAATCAATCAATCAATCAATCAATCAATCAATCAATCAATCAATCAATCAATCAATCAATCCATCCATTGTAACAAAGGAACACTTTATGTCTGTTGGTACGGAAACGAGGTTTGACTGAATAATGTTTAAATGTTCTTCTCTCCTCCCTGAATGGTTTGTCCTTCTCCTCCAGAAAGCGGAGTGATCCATCTGCTGTCGGTTCTGTACGGACGCGCTGACACTACGACCTGCGGGGAAAACAAACCCAGACAGCAGCTCTCCAACACTGAATGCTCCCAGGATGGCTCTCTGGACAAACTCCTGCAAAGGTACAAACCCTCAGCTGATTCCATGCAGATGTTAGATCAGGTTTAGAGTCGTTAAAATCCTGATGTGTTTAGTTACCAGTCAGCTGATCTGCTCTGTTTGATCCGTTTTAGCAACCTTTATGTCCTAATTTTATGTTTTAAATAACATCAACATGTCGTCTAAGACTCTGTTATAATAAAGTGTTGAAACAGGAAAAGGTAAAAGACTTTAAAACACAGAGAAACTGGCATTTTTTAAATCTTAAGTATCCTTTAGAACTTTATTAATAGAACATCCCCCAGCTAAGCTAACCGCCTGCTAACAGGTCCATACTTTGTTAACTTCTGTATTTTTATTTCTCTCATTAAGTTTAAGCCTAGTAGGGTTTGATGTTTCTAAACATTGCAGGTTTTTAATCTCATGCATGTTTACTGTGACGGATTCATGTATTCAACAGGAAGATTCAAGCAAACACTATTTTCCAAAAGTATTGGCTCCCCTGCCTTATAATCCTCTGTGGCGTCCCAATCCTAATCCAGTCCATAGAGGTCCAACAGGACGCTGGTCTTTCCTGCTGCGGGACTCTTTTGGGAAGGATGTCAACAGGCTTTAGAAACGGGAACTTAATAAAAATCATCATTGAACTTTATTCATCTCATATTGGGGAAATGTACCCTTCCCCTTGGGGAGCAGTGGGCTGCCATTGTGCGGCGCTCAGGGAGCAGGGTGGGGTTAAAGTGTCAGTCTGTGGGACTGGAAGCCAGAACCTCTGGGTTCCCTAACGCCCAAACCATTCGGCCTCCGCCCCCCAGCTTTAGACCATTATTTGGTGAATTAGTGCGACTGTGAGGTCGAACCCTGATGTTGGACAGGAAA